GGTCACAACCAGCCCAAAAGGAGGACAAACCACAAACCATGGCACCCCACAGTGGTGGGTGTGTGTGTCCTCCCTCTGCAGCACAAACTGCTCCTGATCAACAACAACAACAACAACTGCAGGAGAGAAAACCCTGCTGAGGGGACATGGCCAGGGACACTCCTCATCCAGGAGCTGTGGCTGGATGGGGACAGTGCAGGCAGTGACAGCGAGGGGATGGGCTGGGCTCTGCCCCAGGACAGGGAATCCATCCCCAAAGGGGCTCAGGGACAGGGAATCCATCCCCAGTGGGGCTCAGGGACAGGGGATCCATCCCCAAAGGGGCTCAGGGACAGGGGATCCATCCCCAGTGCGACCCAGGGACAGGGGATCCATCCCCAAAGGGGCTCAGGGACAGGGAATCCATCCCCAAAGGGGCTCAGGGACAGGGGATCCATCCCCAGTGGGGCTCAGGGACAGGGAATCCATCCCCAATGGGGCTCAGGGGAGGCAGCAGCTGCTGGCAGGGATGGGCAGGGCAGGAATGAGGAAAAATCAGCTGCCAACTCAGCACTGAGCCCGAGCTCCCTTCCCAAATCACTCCAGAACTCCCATTTCTCACCTCTGTCTCACCCTAATGAGGCTACTCCACAGTGCTCTGGTAGTTCCCTGCTAATTTGACGTACAGAGAATTAAACCCTTAATCTTTTGGGTGCTTGTCTCTGACAAGATTAAGGGCAGACCATTACTGGGGAGAGAACTGATGGCACAAAATGTAAAATCCATTTGTTACAGCCAAGCCCTCAATCCATTCTCTTCAAACACAGAACTCTGGGCACTGTGAAGGAGGGAGGTTTAGGAGTTGCTGTGAGGTTGCCTGGAAGGAAAATTCACGTCTTCTGGTCAGGAAGAAACCTCTCCCAGCCTGCAGTAAACTCAATATAACCTGAGATTTCACACCAGGCAAGAGAGGCTGCCTATCCTCAGGAAAGGAGCTTTAGGTAAAGATCAAGGGCAGAGTTAGCAGCATAAAGAGAATAAAATGGTTTGGGTTGGAAGGATTATCCAGTCCTAGGCAGAGGCACTTTCCACTAGGTTGCTCCAGGCCCCCTCCAACCTGAAAAAAAATCCCCTTTTTTCAAGTGAGCTGAACCATTGCAAGGCAAAGCAGATCCCAGAGTGGAGAGAGCTGCAAGAAAAACATCAGAACTGGCACAGAACTATTTCCTGGAGCAACCTCAGAGGGTTAAACCCAAGGAGAGACATTCCTAAAGCTCCTCCATGGCTCCAGACATCTCCCACTGCCACTGATCCCCCTGATCCCACAGCCCAGACAGCAGCAGAGAGAAGCCTGCAGCCTCCCTGGGTTTCTGTCCCTGCCTCCGTGGTGCCACAGGGCAGCTCTCAGTCCATAATCGCTGCTGCTCTCCCTCCCTGAGCCCAGGGCAGGGCACAGATCCCTCCCAGCAGCAGCAATGAAATGATGCAGAGCACCTGCCCCGTGCTGCTGCCCTTTCCCTGCTGCTGAATTCCTCATTTCCACATTGCAATGTGGGCAGTGCTGGCACAAATGCAGCGTGCACACAAACAACAGCCCTGCTGCTGCTCACAGCCTGAGCCCCAGGGCAGGGAGAAAGGGAAACTTCCCCCTCCTCCTCCTCCCCACACGCAGCCCCCACACCAACCAAGCTGTGGGAAATGTTTATCATTCATTAGCTCTTAGCAGCTTTTCTGGGTGAAGATTCCTTTTTTCTTTCAGAACAAGCTGTTCTGTAAAACATGACCCCAGGTTCTCCCTCCAAGGGAAGCTGTGTGCAGCCCACACAGGAGCAGCCAGGAGGGCGTCTCTGCCTGCTGAGGGATGAAGGATGAGGAGCAGAGCCTGCCCTTCGGCCTCTCCAGCCCGTCCTCCAAGGCTGACAGGAATGAAAAGGTCTCTTCAGCCCCTGAGTGCAGCAGGGACTGGGGTTTGGCATTTGGAAATGAAAATTACTGCATGAGGAACACACTGCTGTGGCCACTGGCAGGTAAAGGACATTTAAAGTCACCTGTGAGACCATGAAACGTGCCAGTCATAAATGCCTTCATTAGAATTAATTATAAATTCCTTTGGCTGGCCACACTGTCCTCTCCCTCCATCCCAACCCCAAGATCAGCCCACACTTCATGCCTGGGGTGTTTTCCATTCAGAAAACCATTCCTACCCAGGCCAGGTAAACACCTCAGTGACCACAGACACACTCTGGGTTATTGCAAGGCACAAAAAGAGCATTTGGCTTGGCAGAGACCATCGGTGACTCAAACCACACACATGCACCAGGGAACTCAGATCCTCACTGAGGGCTTTTCCTCTCCCTTGAGGAGAGGAAACCCAACCAAGGCAGGCTGAATCCAGTTCCCATCTCAGACATGGAATTTTCTGGAAGCCTGAGGCCTCTTTTAAGGCAAGCAGGGTCCTGGGATCTCTCCCAGGGTAGGGTATTTTACCTCCTCATTTGCATCTTCTTCCAGCACCCAATATCCCTCATTTTAATATCAACTGTATCTCCCTATATTCAAAGCAAACAGAGCAAGGCAGGGCAGCAAGAAAATGATTTCATGCACTTGCCTTTTGCAAAGGCAGCTGCAACACTAAAATGGGGAGGGTGAAAGGAAAACATTCCTTTTGGAAAGGATGATTTGGAGGGGGTTATTCCTCTTTCCCTCCCTCTCTGTGCTTTTTCTGAGCCTTTTATTCCCATTTTTCAGCCCGTGCTTGGCAGAGAAGGGGGAAGAGGGGCAGCATGCTGGGCTGTGAACATGCTCACACTGCACACTGCTGCCAGCAGCCAGCCCAGGGTGCCCCAGAGCCCTGGCACTGGGGGATCCAGGGCTCCAGCAGCCCCCAGAGCAGGGCCAGCAGCCCCAGGTACTCACTCAGGGCCACGGGGCTCGGGGATGCAGCAGCCGGAGCTGGGGTTGCTATGGAAACACAAGGATGCACAGGCTGGGAACCAGGGGGTGACAGCTGGGAACCAGGGCAGGGGTCAGGAGGAGGGGACTGAGGGGGTCACCCGGCCTGGGAGGCAGGGCTGTGTCACCCAGGGAGCTGCAGAAATCCTGCCAAGCCCTGCTGCAGGGAGAGGGGTCCTGGCAGCCCCAGGGAATGAGGAGATGTGGGGTGACTGCAGGGCTGGTTTGGGGTGACTGCAGAGCTGGTTTATTCACAAAGGTATTTTGGTACCAACCCCAGGGAATGAGGAGATGTGGGGTGATTGCAGGGCTGGTTTGGGGTGACTGCAGTGTTGGTGTACACATGGAGGTATTTTGGCACCAAACCCAGGAGATGAGGAGATGTGGGGTGATTGTAGTGCTGGTTTGGGGTGACTGCAGGGCTGGTTTGGGGTGACTGCAGGGCTGGTTTGGGGTGACTGCAGGGCTGGTTTGTACCCAAAGGTATTTTGGAACCAGCCCCAGGAGATGTGGGGTGTGAGATGATTTGCAGGGCTGGTTTGGGGTGACTGCAGGGCTGGTTTGGGATGACTGCAGGACTGGTTTGCACCCCAAGGTATTTTGGTACCAGCCCCACACAGGGTCTGCTCTCTTTGAACACTTTTGGGTTCAAACCCCATCCCTGTCCTCCTCCAGCCTTTGTTTGGCCGCAGATTTGTAAGGAAAAGGAAATGAAGAAAAGCAGCAAATGGTTAAAATGAAAATACAAACCCAGGTCAACTCAGACACTCTTCCAATCTCCAGAATTCTCATCTGTGCCACTACAATCCATAATTATCACTAATTACCTCATGGAGAGGCCCTCTAAGATAGACAGAAACTTCTTTTTCTTACTGAGGGAAATTAAATAAATCAAAATGACTTCAGAGTTATCCCAGCAGGCATTAAAAATTGTGTCAGGTTCTACATTCAGACAGAGACTTTAAATAATAGGGCAAGGAAAACAAATGGCCTTGGTTAATCTGAGCTGTAAAATTCCTGAGACATCTCTGTGACCTTCAAATCACACTTGAGGGGACAAAACTTCCTGCCTGTCCGTCTGTCCATCCATCCTTCCCCTTCCTGCTCTCCTACACCCAAGTCCAATGCAATCTTTTAGGGGAAATGGCACAAGTAGGATTAAAAATCTGGGTTAAAAATAAAAATTAAAAAAAAATTAATAAAAATATTAAAAAATCCTCTCCTGTTTTTCACTTCAGGAATCTCAAAGAAGCTTCTTCAAGCTCGTCCTTGTAATCTTGGGAGTAGCAGCAGCTCCCCACAGGGATGCACTGATAAATGGAATAATGCTCACTGGGATAAAGAGGTTTTTTTAGCTCCATTGATCAGGTTTGATTGGAAAGGCACAAAGCTATGGAGCCATCTCCACTTTTCACTCACAATTACACAAATCCATCACATTCCTGACTCATTTTGCATGGGAAGTAGGGAACATGCCATTTTAAAAAATTTAGTATGAGGTTTATTTATTTAATCACACAATCTACACAAGTGCTGGAAGACTGCCCAATGGTAAAATCATTACTTAGAAGAGGAAAAAAAATTGAATTTTTTTCCTTCCATTTTGTGCTTTCAATATTGTGGAGATATTCAAAATGTTGAAGTTTTTGGTTGGCTCTGGTCTAAACCAGATCTGCAATTTGGCTGAATTGATTTCCCTGAATGATCTCAGCATCATTAAAATTGAACTGTTTTTAATGGGTTCATAAATATGGAGCCTTCCACTACTCCACTCTGAGTCAACAAGCTAACTATTATTATTTTTATTATTATTATGATTAGATAATCACTACATTAAATATTCCAACTGCATGCTGTAGAGCACAGACAAAGAGTTAACCCCAGTTCTGTTCTAAACAAGAGCAGAGTGGCTACTCCAGAGTCAGTGTGGTTAGGAAATGAACACTACCAGTTACTCCAGTCCTACAGCCCCTGAGAGGGAAAAGGTGCTAAATTAAAAGCTGGAAGTGTTAGAGGAACACTCTAAAAACACAAAAAGAGAGAGTGAAAGAAATGCAGAGAGCACTTACGTGGGTGAGGGATGCCTGCAGTTTATCCATGGATGGGACACAGACCAAAAACGAAATAAAAAGACAGAAATAGACACACACAAACAAAAAAAAATATATAAATGTAGAAGATGTGAGGAGACAGAATATGGAGCTGGAAAATCAGCATCCAGGTGTGCCCTGCTCAGAAGGGATCTGGGCACAGCTCAGGGGACTCCAGACATGCAGGGACAGCCCTGGGTGCAGCACAGGGGCCTGGAGAGAGAGAATTCAGCACAGGGGTCTGGAGAGAGAATTCAGCACAGGGGCCTGGAGAGAGAGAATTCAGCACAGGGGTCTGGAGAGAGAATTCAGTACAAGGGTCTGGAGAGAGAGAATTCAGTACAAGGGTCTGAGAGAGAGAATTCAGCACAGGGGTCTGAGAGAGAATTCAGTACAAGGGTCTAAGAGAGAATTCCAGCTCAGGGCTGGGAACAGCAGTCAGGGCTGGGTGCAGGAGCAAAGGGACAGAACCAGGTCAAACACCTCTCCCTGCCTGCTCTGGTCACACCTGCCCTGCCCACTCCACCTTCCATCCCCTCCTCCTGCTCTCCTTGCCACCCTGAAGAGCTCCCTGGGGTTTAACTCTTCCCTGGAGCAGGAGGACAGTGCTGGGCCACAGCAGAACATGGAAATGGCCCAGGCAGAGCAGAGAAGAGCCTGAGGAATCCATGGAATCCCCTCCAGAGCTGCAGGGGCATCTCAGAGCAGCATGTGCAGAACAGAGCAACCCTCCCTCCTTCACCTTCCACAGTCCACAGCCAGTCCTGGGCCGAACACCTCAATGTGGAAAACAAACCTTGTGACAGCGACATCACACTCTCTGTGACCAAAACCCTTCTCAGCTGCTTTTCCTCATTAAAATTCTCCTTGACAGCCCCTTCTCCTTGGCACCACACCAAGGCTGAACTGCAAACACCAACCAGCGCACACGGAACAGCTCCTCCCTTCAAAGAAACCTTTGAATTACCAGCAAAACCCACCCCAGCCCAAGCCCACAGAGAAACCAGAGGGTGCAGCAAGGTCTGTGAGAGAGAAGAGGCGAGATCCATGCACGGAGAGGCTGCAGGGAGCAGCAGGGGAGCCTGGGCTGGGCTGTACTTACGAACTGGCTGCGTCTTGAACTCGGCGGGCGGGCTGAGCTCCCCCACGCCCTTGCCATTGACTGCTGACAGCCTCACTGCATAGGTGGTCTCAGGCTTCAGCCCCGTGATGGTCACTGTCCCCTCCACGTTGGCTGCGGGGAGAAAAAGCACAGAAAAGCTCAGGGCTCAAAGAAAGAAATGAACAAAGTTTGTTTGTCCCCCATGCGGGGAGAAAAGGGATTAATAGACCTGGCTCTAGCTGGGATCACAGCACTGCAGTGGGGAATAAAATAAGAATTTCAGCTCCACATGGGATTGGTGGTGGAGGATTAAGCTCTGGAACACAACTCTCCCTCTTACAACCCTCCCCAAATCAAAATTATTTTGCTTTATTTGACTCCAAAATGGATTTTGTGCCACAAGCACTGCTATAGATCACCTCAACAGGACGGCTTTGCTGCTGGAATAGCAGAGTTTATTGTCCAAGGGGGACCAAGGGGTGACAGATGAGGGTTCAAAAGCCTCCTGTGGGAAGCAGCAAGTGAAAACTGTAATTCCAACACAGGGTTCTTGACCTCTCAGCAAAGCCCAACCCTCATTTCCAGTTGAAAATTCCACGTGTCCCTCACAGCAAATGCTCAAAATGTAAAAATGTTTTAAAAACTTGTCTGGAGCCTCCAGCCTGAACCCTCCACCCTCCCTGGACAGCAAAGTCCATGTTTTTTCAGTGCTGGTGGGGAAGGAACCAGTTTTATTGTGCCTCCTACCTTCCTTGGCATCGTAGAGCCTGGAGTGCCAGTCCCCCTCGCCCAGGGCCCTCCACTCCGCCTTGTACCTGAGGATGGGCACCCCGCCCGTGGCCTCGGGCTCCTCAAACTCCACCTGGGCGCTGCTGGAGTAGGGCTCCACCCTGCCGATGGAGGGCGACGAGGGCGTGTCTGGGGACAAGGGACAGCAGCCGTGAGACACGAGCTGGGCACAGCCCGCAGCCCCTGGGCCCACACAGCACAGGGCAGGGCTGGGGCTGAGCTCTGAGGGGGTTTAGGCACATTTAAAGATGTTAATTAGTGCACAGATGTTAATTTTGTCTCCTCTCTAAGAGGGTGGAGACTCCCAGTCCTTTCTCCAAAAGGGAACAACCAGGGCAGTGCAGCAAAATTATCCTGGATGCCATTCTGTCCCCACTGTCCCCTCCACAGGGCTCTGAGTTCTGGGTGTCACTCTGTCCCCAGTGTCCCTTCCACAGGGCTCTGAGTTCTGGGTGTCACTCTGTCCCCAGTGTCCCTTCCACTCCTGGGTGCCACTCTGTGCCCTCTGTCCCCTCCACAGGGCACTGCAGAGCTCCATGGTGGGAATCCATAAAATCACAGGGTTTTGGGAAAGCTGCAAAAGGCCTCAGAGACAGCAGAGCTGTGACTGGAGCTGAGCAGCAGCCATGAGATTGGTCAGCAGAGAAATTATGTAAGAAGCAGAAAAGACAAATAGAACAACGGTTTGTGTATTAATGCTTGGCTAGAATGACTCCCTAAGCTGCAGAAAAGTTTCTCTAGTGAGGTATTAGGAAGTTTTAAACTTAATAATGGAGCTTAATAATCCCCAGATGTGCCCTGGAGCCCTCCCAGGCTGGCCCAGCTCTGAGATCCTGCAGCTCAGCTGCTCTCAGGGGTTTTGCTGAGCTGGGGTGCCCAAATCCAAGATCACAGCTCTGCCCAAGCACTCTGGGAGCACAGGGAAGAACAAACCCCTGGGGAAACGAGGGGCCAGAGATGCTGAGCAGCTCCAAGGCAGCAGGGAATGTGTGAACAGCCTCTCTGAAGGCAGGAGCTGCTGTCAGGAGCCAGCAGAGCAGGGCCCCCGTGCCACCCACCCTGGCTGCCCTCCCTGCTCACCTGCCTGCACCAGGATGAACTCGGAGGACTCCTGCCCGATGCGGTTCACGGCCGTGCAGTTGTAGTTCCCAAAGTCATTCTCTGAGTCTGGGGTCACCTGTGGGGGCGAGGAGGGCTCAGCTGGGATCACAAAACCCTTTCCACTCTGCCAAGGCACCTGAGTTTAGCTGGGGAGAAGCTACAATAAAATCCAGGTGTTTGTGCCTCCCAGGGCAGTGGGCACAAAGCAGAGGCAAGCAGGGGCTGTCTCTGCTGCTACCTGATTTTCTTTTTCTTCCATTTCCTGCTCCTCTTTACCTTCCACAACCTGATTTCCTCAGAATTTATATGCCACAAACACCACCCCAACTTCACTTCTACCAAGGAGCCCAGACTGAACTCCTTCATCATCACTTATCTGATGGCACCCCTGGCTTTTCCTCACCTCCAGGTAACTTGCTGAGGGGGTGTTGTAGATCTTGATGTTGCTGTAGTTGGAGCTGGGGAGCAGCTGCCCATCCCGGAACCAGGAGATGACAGCACTGGGGTAGGCAAACACCTCACAGGTGATGTTCACCTGGTTTCCTTCCCAGGTGTACACGGCCACAGGGCCCTGCAGCTTGGGGGCATCTGAAAGACACATTGGGGAAGAAAATTGGAGCCAGCTGAGCTCCCAAAAAAAGCCTCCCTGTAAGGATCCCTTGGCTGGAGTCCACCTCAATGCGGTAAAGGGAATCTAATGTGGGAAAGGGGAGCTGTCCTCTCCTGCAGGGCATGGGGAACATCTCCTGCTGAAGGGCACAAAGGGAAAGGCAGGAGCACACAGCAGCACGGGGCTGGGAAGGTGCTCTAGAGGAGAATTTGACTCCCAACAAATGGGACTGCAGCAGGTCTGTGGTGAGCTGCAAAGAAGACCCAGGCACAGAGAACATCCTGAAACCTCTCAGGTGGAGACTTTCACCAGCCTGAGCTGCTTCTCAACTACAGAGAGAGTTATTGCAGCCTCTGACTTGTAATTAATTTCTCTTTCCTTTCATCACTGTGTTACAGCCCTTTGTAATGGTGATAAATGGAGTATCTACCTGACCTTTTTTTTTCCTTACATAATATAAATTGGTTTTTGGTTTAAATGAAAATACTTCTCACCCTCTACACCCTCACCCTCAGCAGCACCCAGGGGAGGGAACAGGAAACACAGGGAGGGAACAGGGAAGGAATCAGCCCCCCAGGGCACTTACACTGCACCTCCAGGTACATGGCCTGCGAGTCCTGGCCGATGGTGTTGCTGGCAGTGCAGATGTACTCGCCCGCGTCCGTGTACTGGATGTCCTTGAGCGTCAGCGAGGAGACGCGAGCGTGGCTGCGCACCACGATCCGCCCGTCCAGCGTCTGCGACAGCACAGCCCGTCAGGGCAGGGGGCAGGGCACAGGGCACATAGCACAGAGCACAGCCCCTCAGGGCACACAGCACAACCCCTCAGGGCAGGCACACAGCACAGCCCCTCAGGGCACACAGCACAGCCCCTCAGGGCACACAGCACAGCCCCTCAGGGCAGGGCACACAGCACAGCTCGTCAGGGCAGGGCACAGGGCACACAGCACAGAGCACAGCCCCTCAGGGCACAGAGCACACAGCACAGCCCCTCAGGGCACAGAGCACAGCCCCTCAGGGCACACAGCACAGCCCCTCAGGGCACAGAGCACACAGCACAGCCCCTCAGGGCAGGGGGCAGGGCACAGGGCACACAGCACAGCCCCTCAGGGCACACAGCACAGCCCCTCAGGGCACACAGCACAGCCCCTCAGGGCACAGAGCACACAGCACAGCCCGTCAGGGCAGGGCACAGAGCACAGGGCACACAGCACAGCCCCTCAGGGCAGGGGGCAGAGCACACAGCACAGCCCTCAGGGCACAGAGCACACAGCACAGCCCGTCAGGGCAGGGCACACAGCACAGAGCACACAGCACAGCCCCTCACGGCAGGGCACACAGCAGACCCCCTCAGGGCACACAGCACACAGCAGAGCCCCTCAGGGCAGGGCACACAGCACAGCCTGTCAGGGCAGGGCACACAGCACAGCCCAGGGCACACAGCACAGCCCCTCAGGGCACAGAGCACACAGCCCAGAGCACACAGCACAGCCCGTCAGGGCACACAGCACAGCCCCTCAGGGGCAGCCCTGGGACACACAGCCTGCCCTGGCAGCCCCAGGACAGCCCCAGGAGGGCACACAGCCTGTCAGGGCAGGGCACACTGCCCCAGCAGGGCACACAGCCTGCCCCACAATGGCATAGCCCCAGCCCAAGGGCACCCCCAGGATGGCACAAACCCAGCCCCAGGATGGCACAAACCCAGCCCCAGGGTGCCCCCAGGATGGCACAAACCCTGCCTCTGCCCCTGGCAGCCCCAGCAGGGCACCCAGCCTGCCCCAGGATGTGACACCCCCTGGCTGAGCCAGCCCCCAGCACTGCAGATCCCTCACCTGAGGCCAGGTGAGAGCAGCAGGGGCAGCCCCCTGTCACTGTGTGGGCAGTGGCTCAGAGCACTCAGGGGAAGGGGGAACATCAGAAGGAGCAAAGTCTCAGCTCCCACACAGCTGAGAACACCACATAAACTGAGAACAAAGCTTCTCCCCAGGGTGGGAAATGCAGAGACCCAGCTCTGGTTAAAAAGTTTTGCCAGCATGCAAAGAGGAAAAAAAAAAAAAAAAAAGAGGAAAAAACAAGAAAGGAAACCTCCCCAAAAGCTCCCAGACAGAGAACCCAGCCCTTGCTGTCCTCCCAGCAATACTGGTTTTATCTCAGTGCCCCTGAAATGGGGAAGGAAGATCAGATCCAGAGCCCAGAGCTGAATCAGGCAAAAAGGAAGCTCAGAACTTCCACCTGAACGTGGCACAGCAAGAGAGGAAAGGGCAGGGAAGAGGGCAAGAAAGCCTCTAGAGTCAGCCCTGCCCCAAGAAAATTCCAGAACCATTTCCCACTCCAAGAGAGTGTGGGGATGCCACTGACAGAGAGAAACAAGGAATGCAAAATCCCCAGGGACTGCACCCACCCAGCCACCCCAGGCTGGTTTCCCTCTCCAGTTTGTCACCAAACCCATGAAAACACAAAGCCAGGGACTCCCCTCTCCCTCCTGCTGCTCCTGCCTCAGCCTGCAAGCACCAGCTCCCTCCTGTAATTTCTGATTTTGCAGCACAAACACCAGGGAGTAAATCTGGCACTGTCAGGGCTGTGCCTGCTGCTGCATCCTGCCACCCTCCAGGAGCATCTGTTTCCTTGGAAGGTGCAGGACAAGTGCTGATAAATGAGTAAAACCCTGAGGATTTCCAACAGCCAAGTGCACAAAAAGCATCTCTGGTGTCTCAGATCTCTGGGCCTGAGCCTCTCTCTGTGCTGAGACAGGCAAAGCTTCTACAAATAAATCTCTTTTGTCACCTCAGTTAGCTCCAGCACCAGCTCATGGGCACCAGGCCAATTTCAAATGCATGAAAATAGCATCTTTTGATAACACACAAACAACTGGGTGTATTTCTCTCCTCTCTCCTGCAATCCCTGGCCAGTGCCACAAGCCACAGACTCCATCCCTGCCCTGGAGCAGTTATTCCATGGACATGTGGTGCTGTGGGCATCATTTCAGAGCCTGACATGAAGCTGCTGTGCTGCCACACCACTAAAATCTGCTTTTATCTCACTGCCCTGCTCTCCTTCTGTCTGAGTCTGGATTTCCCTCCCAAGCCCAGCTCATTCCAGCAGCACCAGCACTCCACACCTGGGAATATTCTCAATATTTGTCTCCGGGACCTCACCAGAAGAGTGGAAAGGACAAAACACCGGTGTGGGATCAGCAGAGGTGATTCTAGAAAAGGCACTTTTACACCCAAATGGCTCCTGCCTTTCTCCCACCTCAAAGGAGAGCCAGGGAATCGTGGTCAGGGAGGATTCCATGAGCAATGCAACTCATTCTGAAAATAAAGCTTGGGGTTTTTAACGCAGAAAGGCAAAAGGGAAGAAAAAGAGAGATCAGGAAGAACACTCTAAGGAAGAGAACAAGGCCTAGCCAAGAAAGCACACTGAGGTTTTCTCTCCCCCTGCTGCAACAGACAGGACAGGCAGGAATTTGGGAGCCAGATGTTGACATCTGCAACCCTTTTACTCAAATCCCCCAATTGCAGGGATCACAATAACAAACTCCTGGTGCTGGGGAGAGCAGCTCGATGGATCACTCCTCAGAACAGAGCAGGATGTTCTCTCTATTGCCAATTATTGCAATTTATCCTATTGCAGGCATTTCCCCCAAATTCTGGCCATGCCCTGGGGCACAGCCACTGTGATCACAGCTCAGGGCCAGAGGGGGACAGCAGAGACAAATAAACTGCATTTATCCCCTGCCCTTCACCTTCTGGAGCTTTCAGCTTTCCCAAACAAGGGATAAATTCTGCACAGCCCTGCCTGCCCCTCACTCCCACACCCCCACAAAGCCCTGAAAACCCCAACCCAGGCAGGAACTGCACTGAGGAAGAGGAGGGGTCTCTCCTTGCTCTGTGCTTGCAGAGCAGTGTTTGACATTTGCATTTAACTGCAGCCCTGAATGCTCCTAATGCTGCACCCATTCCCAGTCACCAGTCTGGGGTGTCACTGGGGGTACCCAGAGATGCTGCCAGGACTGACTCCACCTCCTCACCCGAAATTCCTTCAGTAAAAGTGAAATATTTAATGCCAAACATTCCCTGACCTTCCTCTTGCTGCTGGAATCCACTGCTAAAAGCCCCCAGGCAACTTTAAAGCAATTTAAAAGCAATTTTAGAGAGATGCCCTGCACCCCGCTGGGGTATTTTAAGACACAGAGGCAGTAAGAAATTTAGAGACAGCAAACTTAATAGTATTAGTGCTCATATTAATCAAAAGCTGGAGAGAGAGAGCACAGAGAAAACACTGGGGCAGGGAGGGGACAGCTGGGACAGGAATTCCTCTGAGGCCTGGGGAGATGCAGCGACTCAAATTCCGAATTCTTCAGCGCAAACTGCTCTGAGAATCCGATGCCTCCACCTGCCACAGCCCAGCAGATTATCCTGAAGGGAGAATGGGCAGGATCTGCCCATGAAACACAGCTGGGTGGTGCTCAAGTTACAGCTTCCCCTTGCTCGCTCTCTGGGATTTGGGATGGCTTCAAAACGATTTAAAAAATCAGAGCCTCCACTAAGTTGATCCTAAAAATACAAATCCAAGTCACCCAGTTCTGACAGCTCATTTTGTTCTCCACCTGACCCCTGTTATTTGCTTGGGAACTTTCCTTCTGGTCCATTTTGAAGCAAGAGGGCTACAAATCAGCTGCATTATTATTATTATTATTATTATTATTATTATTATAGCACAGCACTGAATGTGAAATAAAATCAAACCCCATTTGCACCAACCCCAGTCCCTGCATTATCCCACCTCCCCCTCGCTGACCCTTAAAAATCAAAGACAAATGGAAATAATTGAGCAATTTGGAGCATTTTCTGCAGAAATGCCCCCCGTGCAAGGTTTCTCTGTGTTGGTTTGGAAGTGGAGCATGATGCAGTCTCCTTCACACAGAAGGTCAAACTGAAGGAGTGCCATGAGCAAATAGGTGAGTTGGCTGGAGCAGAGGAGGCTTTCCTGGGGAAAAATGACTTTCCCAAAATGCAGGTTAGTGCTAATTCTTCCCTCTCTGAAGGAGAGGATGATTCACACTGGCAGCACAGAAAAAAAAATGGTGAAAAGAACATTTTTACATTTGCTTTTCATTTTAATTGCCTTTCCTTTCATTTTTAGGTGACGAGCAGAGTTCCTCACTCCCAACACAGCCACTTTGCTCATCCAAAAATTGCATCACTACATGCCAAGCAATTTCTACCTCTAGAAGCTGCTTCTTGTATGTACTGGCAATTCAAGTGGGTCAGATTAATGCTTGTTTAGTTGGTTACTGCACTAGAGATTTGTTAATCTGTGATGCTTAGAAGAGAAACCAAAAACCAAGAACCTAAAGAAGTTTTGCTAAAGCTCTGAGAATCTGATACCTCTTGTTTCTCGGGCCGGGTCCACGAAGCCTGGAGAGAACAGATATAGAACACAACAACAACGACAGAAAAAAAGCAATAAAAGTTTGTCAAAGGTTGCTTTCAGGTACCAGTGTTTGCAGCACATTGAGCTGGGTGCACATGCAGGCTCCAAGCTGAACATCTCCTCTGTGTGGGGTGGGGGGATCACAGCTTCCCTCTCCCATCGGTTTCAGGCTGGAATTCGCCATTTCACAGCCTCTGTTTTGGTTTTTAAATAGCTAAAAAAGGCTGCTGGCACCTCAAGGCTGATTTATTACATCAGGGACTGTTTCCTTTGTCACATCTCACCTTTCCTACACACCTGGTGCTCAGGAAGCGCCTCTGCCCACTGAGCTGCTGAGGGCAGCCCCAGGGTTGTGCCCCTGGTCCGTTTGCCACCCCACACCGATTAATTAATGCTAATTAAAGTGCTCATCATGCATTTGGAGGCCTGGTTCCATGCAGGCTGTGCCAGGAGGAGGAGCAGCCCCAGCTCCCTGTGCTCAGGGATGGCAGCACCCAGCCCCAGAGCAGGGGAACATGCCCAAAGCTCACTGCAAAGCAAATATTTCCCACTCAGAGAGAGCCACCAGCAGCAAGGACCACGTTCCCTGTGGCTCACAGAGAGCCAGGCTGCTGTGCTCCATTCCCCCCCTGTAATTTATATTTCAGCTCCCTATGATTTGTTCAGGAGTCAGAAATCCCCAGGGTGGCAGCACTGGCTGAGAGGCACAGTGACATTGTGGGGGTGTCACAGCACACACGGGTGACAGGCATGGAGATGGAGGCTCAGGGAATGAGGATCAGAAACAGAGCCCTGCTGCCAGGGGACACTGAGATTGCACAGATGGGACACAGGGGACAGCAATGGGCTGGGCTGGCACGGGGACAGGAGCACAGGGAGCCCTGCAGGAAGGCCCAGTGGCACCACAGGGGTTAAAGTGAGTTTGGGATGCAGGAGGGAGCTGATCCCTCTGCTCCTCACTCGCTTATTGAGAAGATGCTCCCTTGTTTTCTGGCCTGCAAGGAATTTTGGGCAGGGAGAGAAGCTCTCAGGAGAGCCAGCTCTGGATAAAGGATCAAGGATGTGTGTCTGGGATGCAGGAGGGGGAATTTAGAGCTGATTCCCCTGCTCCTCAGTCTTTTATTGTTTTCAGAGATGATTTCTGCCCTGCAGGGAATGGTGAGCAGGGGGAGCAGCTCCCAGGAGATCCAGCCCTGGATAAAGCATCAGGGACCTGCAGAGCTTTTCCCTCCCATCCCCACAGGCTGAGCTGCACTGCTGGGTGACAAACCCAGCCATGTCCCCACAGCTGCACTGGCTGAGCTCTCCCAGGCTGGGACAGCCCCAAATCTGCCAGGAGGCACAGCTGAACTAAACCTGCCTCCTCCTTTGGGGCTTTGGGTGGGTTTTCCAGAATGTTCTGGGAGTTGAGGCATCTCTACACCTCTAAAACCTTCACTGAGGGATCATTACAAGAGCAAACAACACAAAGCAAGAGAGAAGCATCCAAGTACCTGGATAACAGAAATGTTCAAAAGTGGGTTTGAAAATTCCTAAAATAGCATTGTTTGTCCTGCATCAAAGACCATCCACTTCCCTGTGCTGGCCCAGAGAAAGAAAGTGGAGAATAAACTGAATATATGCATTTGGAACAGAATATTTAATAGAATTAAATATTCTAATAGAATTTGTAGTAGAGTATTTATAGAGCTGTTCTGACCTCAGGGTTTTCTGGACATCTGAAAGGTTTCCCTCAACTCAGAGCACAAGAGAGAGAATGAGAAAAGTGCAAGACAAACCGAAACAAAATGCACACACACACACACACAAAATAATCCAGCCTAGAAAGTGCATGGGATATGATAAAACAATGTTTGCCCTGAAGGTTTGAACCAGCCCATGAACACATGGCAGCACCTCAAACCTTGGCTCTTCCCCCATCTCAAGTGTCAGAGCATGAACATTCCCCTTGCTATTGATCACCCACCTGAGAGCAGCAAGCAGAGTCTCAAAAACCAGCAAAAATGAGTTAGCAGTTTTGCACTGGGCTGTGATGGATTAACTGGCCTCAGAGGGGCGGCTCCTCTACCACTTATTCAGCTTTGGCATCCCCTCCCTGCCCAAGTCTGTCCAGGCTGGGATCCAAACTGCACAGCCAGCAGCACTGGAGCCCTTGGCACCTCCCAGAGCTAACAGAGACACAAACCCATGAATAAATAACCTCCAATCCTGCCCAAACAGGTGCCCCAGGCAGGCTGCAGCTTCTGCAGGCACAGGAAACGTTCCCTGCACACTGCAGGGATTCACAGCAGCCCTGGGATCCAAGAGATGCTGAGAAAGAACTGAAGCTGCAGAACTCTGGCACCCTGATTAATAAAGTTACACATGGACAACGAGGGGAGGGGCTGACGTCATGGGGGCAATTAAAAAAGCTCATTTAGGAGCTGCAGGGCAGCTGTGGGGAGCAGGGACAGTGGACACCTCTGTTGCTCCAAGACTTTCAGAGTTTCACACTGAGCCAGAGCCCCTGGCATGGCCAAGGCAGCTGAGCCCTGAAACATCATCCTGTTAATAGGAGATTATTAATTAGCAACAACTCCTCACTCCTGCTTCTGTCTAGGCCTTCTCTGGCTCCAAATTCTGCCTCCTGATCACTCATGAAACATCTCCAGTGCAGCAGCAGCACACCCAGCCTGCTCTAATTAAAGGAGCAATAACAACACCAGCACTCTCTTTCAAGAAGGAAAAAAACTGCTAATTATTTTTGCCTTTTAAGAACAAAATGGTGTTGATGGGATCAACAGAACGGGTGAGCACAAAAGGCAGGCAGGCTTTTGTGCTCTGGGGATGTGCAGTGTCAGAGGGCAGCAGGGAGCAGGGATGGACAGGCTCACTGTGGCTCCTGGAGAGGGAGCAGCCCTCACCTGCACCTGCCCAGCTCTGGGGGCTCATCCCCCCTGCCAGATGTTCCCTGCAGCTGGAGGAGCTGCTCTGAACAGGGTTTGGGGTGTCCCCAATTGAATCCCCCCAGTGAACACAGCAGGAATTGAAGGAGGTGCTCAGAGCCCAGGTGGCTCTCACAGGAGGGCACCTGTGACACTGCTCAGGGTGTGGCACTGCCCCAGGTGTGGCACCTGTGGCATTGCTCTAGGTGTGCACCTGTGGCACTGCTTTGGGTGTGGCTGTGTCCCAGGTGTGGCAGTGCCCCAGGTGTGGCACAGGTGGCAGTGCCCCAGGTGTGCCCCAGGTGTGGCTGAGCCCCAGGTTAAATTATGGAAAACTCCTCCATAATGAGAGGAGAAGGGGCTGGTCCCTCCGAGCTGCAGTGCAATAACTGCATGGAGTGGCAGTGCCCCAGGTGTGCCCCAGGTGTGGCAGTGCCCCCCCCCCAGCAGCAGCACAGCCCCCCCATGCCCCCATGCAGGGCCAGGGGCTGTGCTGAGCCCCCCAGGCCTGGCAGGACCTTTACACCTTTACCTTCTCCTCGCTGCTGATGTTCCTGCTGGAGCTCCTCCAGGTGATGGAGGGGATGGGGTCCCCCGAGGCCTCGCAGGTCAGCGTGATCTGATCCTCCAGCTCCATGGCTGTCTTGTTCTCCACGTAGGTGATCTTGGGTTTGGCTAGGGAGGAGGAGGAGGGAAAGGAGCCTTGGCTCAGGGGGGCTCAGGGTGAGTAGCGCTGGGGAGAGCTGGGACCATCTGGGACCATCTCCTGCCCGCTGGGGAAGGGGCACAGGGGCTTTCAGCAGGGCACCTCCTGCACAAGGGAAGGACCTGGAGAACCTCCCGTGCTCATTCCCACAGCTGAGGCTCCAAGGAGGAGCCAGTTCAGAGGGCACAAATGCTCACCCCTGGGATTGCCAGCTCCCCCTTCCACCCCCCTGCCCAAATCAGCCCTTTGCCAAGCAGCCCGGGCAGGTGGCTGCACACAGGGCAGGGAGAATTCCACATTCCCCAGCAATTCTAGACCCTTGGGAGGCAGGGAGAATTCCACATTCCCCAACACTTCCATTCCCCTGGGAGGCAGGGAGAATCCCACATTCCCCAGCACCTCCAGACCCCTGGGAGGCAGGGAAGCTCCTGATTCACCCCTGCAAGCCTGAGGTCACTCCAACAGTGCTGGGGTGGAGCTCACCTCCCCGTCCAGGCTGCAGCAAGCCCCACTCAAGTGCTAAATCCCTTTTAACAACAGCTTTGGTGGATCTCCAACACACCCAGTGTGGCACAGGGGCACAGGCACAGCAGCAGGCATGAATTACATGAATTAACCAGGACCAAGAGCTCCCCCAGCTCCCCCCATGTGCCCAGCACCCAGCTGGGCTGCCAGGGGCTGTTACCAAAGACTTTGAGGTGGATGGTGGCGTCAGCCTCTCCAGCCTTGTTCTCAGCAATGCAGATGTACTCGGCCTCGTCGCTCTTGTCCACCCTGTGGATCACCAGCTCGGAGCCGTCCGAGTTGAAGCTGTATTTGTCCTCCTCCTCCTCCTCCACCTCCTCCACAGGCTCTCCATCCCTGGGGGCACAGAGCACAGGGGCTGTGGTGGCAGCAGCCAGCCCAGCCTGGTTCAGGCCTGGCCATGCAGTCGTTGCCCTGCAGCTCAGAGGGACCAGCCCCTTCTCCTCTCCCCGTGGAGAGACCCATTCCCACCCCTTCCTGCCCCAGCTCTCACCTCCTGGCACAGCACAGAGCTGTAACCCCCCAAACGTGGTTTCTTGCCTACCAAGGCAACACTCCAAGCTGCCATCAGCCTTTCCAGGTCCCTCTGTGCTCCCAACCTTCACCAAAGGCTGCAGAATTCCAAGGACAGAGTCCCTGGAGTGGGAATCACTGCAGGGAGCTGGGAGGGGACACAGCTGAGCAATGCGGAGAACTGAAGGAATCCCTTGGTTTGCTTTGCTTTATTAAACTGTTTTTATCTCAACCAACAGCACTTTCACCCTCAGATTCTCCTCCCTGGGTGGGCTCTGTGCTCCCAGCCTGACCCACAGCAGAAGGTGGTGTCACTGTCATATTTTCTGGAAAATCTCCTTGCCCAGGATTTTGCTCCTGGGAAGCTGAGAAGCCTCAGAGAAAAAGGAAAACAATAATTATCTGATTGGCTTCTCCTGTGTTTTGCTTTGGAATGTGGTTGGAGATTGTTCATCCAACAGGTGCATGTTTGATTGGTTTCATGTGAATTGTTCTAACTTAATGACCAATCACAGCCAAGCTGTGTCAGGACTCTGGAAGGAGTCCTGACTTTTTCATTATTATCTTTGTAGCCTTCTGTCTGTATCCTTTCTCTATTCTTTAGTATAGTTTAGTATAGCATAATATAATATAATATGATATGATATGATAATTTAGCCTTCTGAGAACAAGGCCTCAAACTCATCATTCCTTCCTTTGACCCAGAAAATACAACAAGGTGACCTCAGCCCCATCACGAGGCCATTGCTGTGAGCAAACCCAGCTCATCCCAGCCAGAACATTCCCTTTCCTTTGCAGGGGAAGCAGCCCTGGCCCAGCAGGACCCTGCACACAGCCTCTTACTTTGTCCAGGACACGGTGGGCTCGGGGAAGCCGTCAGCATCGCAGGCCAGGGTGACAGACTGGCTGAGGTTGGCAGTGGCGTTCATGGTGCTCTGCCTGGCACGCACAGAGGGAGGCACTGCAAGAGAGCAGAGCCAGGGTGAGCTGGGCAGGACAAAGGTGTGAGCCACAGAGAGCTCCTGGGCACCTCTCACCCAAAAACCCTGTCAGCATCACCACCTGCAGGGTTTGATCAGCAGGTTTGAGGCATGGCCAAAGTCATGAACCACAGAGAACCCCTGTGCACCTCTGGTGGCACCACTCACCCAAACCCTGTCAGCACCATCACCTGCAGGGTTTGATCAGCGAGTTTGAGGCATGGCCAAAGTCACCAGCACAGGGTGAGTGTGCTGGTGACTTTGGAGAGAGAGCTGGAGAGAGCCTGGGCACCTCTCACCCAAAAACCCTGTCAGCACTACCTCCTGCAGGGTTTGATCAGCAGGTTTGAGGCATGGCCAAAGTCATCGGCACAGGGGAGAAAGGGCAGTGGGTGGGGAGACAAAAAAGAAATCATTGTGGTGGCCAGAACCACTCGTGAGTGCCACCAAGCTCAGCTCCTCACTCGAACCCTCAGGCTCCTGGAGGGGTTATTTTCCTGTAAACACCTGGCAAACACTCCCCGTGTTCCATGGACATTTTACTGGACACAGCAGAGGAAGAGGATGGTGTGAGTGTGAGGCAGCAGCTCCTGCAGCAGCCTGGGGTGAGGTGCTGCTGCCAGCCCCTCACCGTTGACGATGACCTGGATGTCCTTGAAGTTGATCTCCCCACGGGCCAGGATCCTCCCCTCACACCTGTAGGTGCCCTCATCTGTCTTCTTGATGCCCCGGATCTGCAGGTAGTTGTTGGACAGAACGATGAAGCGCACTGCAAAGCACAAAGAAAGGCAAGGGAAGCTCACTCAGCCTCTCCTCTCCCTCGCCACCAGCATTGGATCTGCTGCTGGAGCTGGATCTGCCTCTGCCCCTGCCCTGGGGCTGTGCTCAGGGAGGTGAACAGATCCAGGGGGACACAGCAGACCTGGCTGAACGATGGGGTGCACTGAAGGAATCCCTTGGTTTGGTCTGCTTTGCTTTGTTAAACTGTTTTTATCTCAACCAAAAGGATTTTCAGGCTCAGATTCTCCTCCCTGCGTGGGCTCTGTGCTCCCAGCCTAAGCCACAGCAGAAGGTGACCTCAGCCCCACCACGAGGTGCCACAGACACATTCACACTGCATCACACCAGCCAGGGAGCAGTTGGGGACTCCTGCCCCTGCCCAGGGGCTCCAGCCTCACCACCTGTGTGCCAGGTGTGGGAAACCTGCTCAGCTGGAGTCAGGGCCTGTGCCAGCCCCTCTGGACACAGCTGGCTGGAGCACTTGGGAAGAAAGGGAAATGTTCTTGCAAGGAGCTTCCAGCCCCTTTCCTCAGGAAGGTGGAGGGTGTCACAACACCCAGCTTTTCTGGCTGATGGCATTTCTTTCATCTGTATTTTATTTCCAGCATTCCTTGGCTGATTCTGGTGCCAAAGCCTGGCAGCCCCTTCAGTGGGAACGCGATTGCCCTGCCACAGGCAAACCACAGCACCTGGGGTGACTAAATCCACATCCCACGGCCTTGGGTCGGGCACAGCTGCTTCCCCATCCCTTGTGGCCACCAGCACTGTGTGTGGGAGGGAGATGGACGAGAAGCAAGCCCTTACCATCCTTTTTGAGGATGACATCCCTGCCTTTGTGCTTCCAGATGATGGTGGGGGGCAGCGAGCTGACCACGTCGCACACGATCACAGCGTCGTCCCCTTCCTTGAACTCCTGGGGGGTGGGAGCGTTCTTGAACATCAGCTTTTCTGGAAAATGGGAAAGGACAGGGTCACTGCAGCTTCCTCAGCACAGCTGGAGCAGAGAAACCCCCAAACCCCAGAGATCTCCTTGTTCCCAGGGGAGGATCGAGGTGGGAGTGAATCACTGCCCACAGCATGCCTCTTACTGTGATATTTTATAAAAATCCCTTCACCAGGATTTCTTCTCCTAAGAACCTGGGAAGCTTCAGCTTCTCCCTGTTTTGGTACTTCAGAATGTGATTTGGAGAATTGTTTACTCAGCATGTGAATTGTTTTATTTTAATGACCAACCACAGCCAGCTGTGTCAGACTCTCTGAGTCTGTCACAGGTTTTTATTATTCATTCTTTTCTAACCTCCTGATATATCCTTTCTCTATAGTTTAGTATAGTTTTAGTACATAATTTCATATCATATCACAATAAATCAGCCTTCTAAGAACATGGGAGTCAGATTCACTCATCTCTCCCCTCGTCAGGGCTGCTGCAAATTCTACACAGGGGGGAAAGGAAAGAGCCAGGGGGGTGTCACTGTCACATTTTCTGAAAAATCCCCTTGCCCAGGATTTTCTCCTGGGAAGCTGAGAAGCCTCAGAGAAAAAGGAAAACAATAATTATCTGATTGGCTTCTCCTGTGTTTTGCTGCTTTGGAATGTGGTTGGAGATTGTTTATCCAACATGTGAATTGTTTTTACTTATTGGCCAATCATGGTCAAGCTGTGTTGGGGCTCTGGAGAGAGTCATGAGTTTTCATTATTATCTTTGAGCCTTCTGCCTGTATCCTTTCTCTATTCTTTAGTGTAGTTTCAGTATAGCATTCTTTTATATAATATAATATCATAAAATAATAAATCAGCTTTCTAAGAACATGGAGTCAGTCAGATTCTCAATTCCCTCATTCCTTCCAATGTCGGGGGGTCTCAGAAAACACCACAGGGGGAGACAAGGGAACAGCCAGGGGGGGCAAGGAAGGAGCTGGGGGGGGGCAAGACAAGAGTGAAGGGGCAAGACAAGAGCTGGGAAGGCAAGGAAAGAGCCAGGGAAGAAAGGAAAGAGCCAGGACAAGAGCTGGGGGGGCAAGGAAAGAGCCTGGGGGGAAAGGAAGGAGCTGGGGGCCAAGGAAGGAGCTGGGGGCCAAGGAAGGAGCTGGGGGCCAAGGAAGGAGCCAGGAAGAGCATGACAAGAGCCAGGGGGGCAAGACAAGGGCCATGTGGGGGCTCCTTACGGAAAATCTTGACGTTGACAGTGGCCTCGGAGTCGCCCTCCTCGGGGCTGCTGACCACACACTTGTAGATGCCGGCGTCGTCGATGTTGGCATTGTAGATGGTGAGCGTGGAGGAGAAGTCATCGTTGCGCACCACCGAGATGCGCTGCTGGCCCGGGCTCAGCCGCTCCCCGTTCGGGGAGAACCACGAGATGTCCTTGGACCTGGCCTCCCCGGCCACTGCAGGGGACAGAGAGAGAGAGCAGGGTGAGACTGCAGGCCAGGACTGCAGCATCCCCAAACCCCACTGCTGAGGGAATGCCCCAAACCCCAGGGTCTGCCCCAAACCCCACTGCTGAGGGTCTGCCCCAAACCCCAGTGCTGAGGGCTCTGCATGGCCCAGACCCCAGGGCCTGACTGACTACACAGCAGCAAACAGCCCAGTGAGACAGCCCAGCCCTGCATGGCCCCAAACCCCAGGGTCTGCCCCAAACCCCACTGTTGAGGGTCTGAGTGACCCCACAGCAGCAATTCCATCCCAGCAGGGTCTGTCTCATTTCAAACTGAATAAATAAACCCAGGGGCCTTCGGTCAGCACCCACCTTGACATAAGAAGAACTTGGACTCTCCAACGCTGATCTCCCCCTGGCTTGGAACGATGTCCACTTGGAGAGAGGCTGGGAAGGGAATGAGCACAGTCAGACACGGGCTGTGGGCTCCAGCAAAACACCTTTGCCAGCCTTACAATCCCCATGGATCCCTCATTCAATTCACAGTCCAGGATGACACCTGCTTTGTGATCTGAACTGCTGGTTTTAAACACCAGAGGTTTTAAACGTGAGAGAAGGGTTTTAAACATGAGAGATGGGTTTTAAACATGACAGCAAAGTTTTAAACACCATAACAAGGTTTTCAACACCACAACAAGGTTTGAAGCACCAGAGAAAGGTTTTAAAGCTTTTTAAACCAAAGGACAGCACCTCTGCCCTGTCCATTCCCATTTACCAGCAGCCCCTCCCAGTGCACACCCACGCAGGCCCAGTGCCCTTTTCCCCCAGCACCATCCCTGCCTCCTTCTTCATTGCATAAATTATGACCCATTAGGCAGAAAATGTAATTGGATTCTGGCTCTCCTCCAGCTATAGCTTAATTCCACAGCAGATCTGTGGCCTAACAAGCCCGGGTCAAGTTGAATTTGAGGACGCCAAAATAGGTTTTCTTTGGAAAACACCCTCTGTGCTTTCATGTAGTGCACGAAAAGCTGAAAATCTCTCTCCCAGAGCAGCTAATTTTACCTCCAGACCACAGAGGCATTATTCCAGCTGCCAAGCACACCTGGGGTTATGAGAAACAAGCACTGCTTCAGCAATGAAAACCCGGCTGTGCGTGCCAATGGCAACACTGCTTAAAGTGCTGGGGAAACACCTGGGCTGGGGGTCAGGCAGTGAGTCTGGAGTGGGGGAGCTCTGCCTGCCCTCAGGGGGAAAGCACAGCAATATCAGGATTTTCTGAGCACGTTCCTGTGGCCAACACCCCCCCTGCCACAGCCCTTCTCTCCAGGAGAAGCAATAATGGGAGCTGGGATAGCCCCAGTGCAAGGCCCCTGCACTTTGCTGCTCTCCTCTCTGCAGCTCAGCAGCTGTCCTGATAAATTCCAAATACCCAAAACGCCAAGAACGCAGCCAGGAGCCGGCTGGAAGCAGAGCTGGGACTGCTGAGGGCTCCAGCTCTGCCCAGGGTCACCCAGGGGCTGCAGATCCTGCAGTGACTCCAGACAGGGACATTCAGGTACCCCTGGAGCTCCTGAGCTGGGAAAGCCAGCCCAAGGAAGGGCTTCCAGAGCACTTCTCTGCTCAGCACTGGGAGCTGCTGAAATGGGAACCCTCTGGGATCTGACAGAAATTCAGATTTCTCTCCCCAGCTGCACTCTGCAAACGCAGCCCTGGCAGGGCTGGCCAATGCCTCTCACCCCGTGCCCAGGTGATTTCTGCTCCAGGCTCTGTGGAAAGCACTGAACTCTCCATCACCCCCAATTCAGCACCTGGGCTGCACCTTTACAGCTTTTTTCAGCCTGGCTGTGCCACACCAGCTGCACACAACAGGAGGAAATCACACAAGCAGGGACCATCTCACTGCAAATACAGAATAAAGAATGATTTGCAGAGCCCGTGGTTATGAGGAAAGCCCTGGGGGTTTAATGCACTGAAACTACGCTAAAGAATACAGAAAGAATGCAGACAGAAGGCTAAAAAGGTAATAATGGAAAATTCCTGACTCGTTCCAGAGTCCTGACAGTGCCTGACCTTGATTGGTCATTAAGTTAAAACAATTCACATGAAACCAATCAAAGAACCACCTGCTGGATAAACAATGTCCAAACCACATTGCACAGCAGCCAAACACACAAGAAGCAAATGAGATAATATTGCTTTCATTTTTCTCTGAGGCTTCTCAGCTTCCCAGGAGAAGAAATCCTGGCAAAGGGATTTTTCAGAAAAATTTCTGAAAATTTTCGGATTTCTCAGAAAATCCCAGTGAAGGGATTTTTCGGAAAATGTGACAGTGACATTCCCAGCTCCTCTGTCCTCACTTCACACCAGAGAGCCTGGGTGTGCTGCCACTGTCACCGAGACACACGAGTCCCCAGAAAAAGGGGCTGTGCCTGCTGGGAAAAATGAGTATTTTATGATTGGTTTTTGGCAGATATTCAAATGAATGTTATACGTGCTATGTTAGAAAGTGATGCTGTGTTAATTCTCTTAAGCAGTGTGTTAAATATAATTTTAGGTTATAACATAATGTTAAAATAGAAACTGCTATGTAAGATACTTTTTTAAAGCAAGGACTCTCACTGAGATAGCAGCCACAGGACACCTGAATATTTCAGAGAAATGGAATTTATTGCTCCCTTATCAGCAGAAATGAACTTCTGCCTGCCTTGCTCAGCCCTGAGGAGCTGTCAGGATTCAGAGGAAGAAGCTGACCCTGCCCAGCCAGAATCCTGTGTTTGAATGGAATTTCTGCACCATGGATGAGGTGTATGAATATGCAACAGGCTGTTGCTTTTAAGGGTTAATCCTCTGTTCATGTGGGTCCTTTTTCAGGCTTATTTTGCCCAAAAAAGATACCTGGACTATCCTTAAATCTTTGTTTTTATTGTCTCCGAGTGTCTGAATCCAAATTGTCCAAAATTATTATTACCCTAATTCTATTGCTATTTTTAGAACCATTTTATTACTATGCAACTTTTGGAATTTTAAAACCAAGTGATTGGCGTTTTTCACACCTGCAATCTCACCAACCATGCCCACCCTCAGCTCACACACAAAGCCAGCTCTGCTGATTTTAATCGCTGTTTAATCGTTATTTTTGCTTTGCAGCTCAGGGAAATGGGGACTATTTTTTCCACTCTTCGTTTAATAGACACTGCGAGCCCATTTGTATTCTGCTTCCAACTTCAAGCAATAAAGGCCTTTTTAGCATCACATAATAACTGCATTAAAAGGCCCTCTTCATAATCACACAATAACACTTTTTATAGCTCTGCCCTCCCCCATATCTTTTATCTGGTTATAAAGTTCCCCAGCCCCCAAAAAATGCTGAATAATTCCCCATTGATTAAAAAAAAAAAAAAAAGAAAAGACAACAAATTTGCTAATGCAACTTCCTGTTCATCTGTAGTTCAATATAATTAGTTTTGCATCTCAACAAAAGAAATGAGCTCAAATTAAGCCGTGGTTTTGATAATAGGCAGGGAGGCTGTGTCCCTGCTGGGCTCAGGCTGAGCTTAAGGCAGGAGGCTGTACCTGGGCAGGAAATAAAGGAAATAAAGTAAATAAAGTAAATTGTTGGCAACTGGGTCTGTGGCTGCCCAAATTCCAAAGGTGACACACCTGGAACAGGAATACGAGTGCTCACACTGCTCTGGCTCCACAAAAGGAGTATCCTGGAACACTAAACACACCCAGTTAGGGATTTACTGTGGGCTTCTATTCCCTCAGACAAATGGAGCTCAGCCCCTCGCATCCCTCCCTTCCCACAAAAGCACTGCTCCTTTCCAGCCCCAGCAGCTCAGCTCTGACCCTGAGAGGGCCCACCTGGAGCTCAGCAAGGACTGGAATCCTCCTGGAATCCTCACCTGGAATCCTCACCTCCTGAAATCCTCCTGGAATCCTCACCTCCTGAAACCCTCCTGGAATCCTCACCTGGAATCCTCACCTCCTGAAATCCTCCTGGAATCCTCACCTCCTGAAACCCTCCTGGAATCCTCACCTGGAATCCTCACCTCCTGAAATCCTCCTGGAATCCTCACCTCCTGAAACCCTCCTGGAATCCTCACCTGGAATCCTCACCTTCTGAAACCCTCACCTCCTGAAATCCTCCTGGAATCCTCACCTACTGAAATCATCACCTCCTGAAATCCTCACCTCCTGAAATCCTTCTGAAACCCTCACCTCCTGAAACCATCCTGGAATCCTCACCTGGAATCCTCACCTCCTGAAACCCTCCTGGAATCCTCACCTTCCGAAACCCTCACCTCCTGAAATCCTCCTGGAATCCTCACCTTCCGAAACCCTCCCCTACTGAAATCCTCCTGAAACCCTCACCTACTGAAATCCTCCTGGAATCCTCACCTGGAATCCTCACCTCCTGAAATCTTCCTGGAACCCTCACCTTCCAAAACCCTCACCTCCTGAAATCCTCCTGAAATCCTCACCTGGAATCCTCACCTCCTGAAACCCTCACCTCCTGAAATCCTTCTGGAATCCTCACCTCCTGAAATCCTCACCTCCTGGAATCCTCACCTGGAATCCTCACCTCCTGAAACCCTCCTGAAATCCTCACCTCCTGAAACCCTCACCTCCTGAAATCCTCCTGAAATCCTTCTGGAATCCTCACCTCCTGAAATCCTCCTGAAATCCTTCTGAAACCCTCACCTTCTGAAATCCTCCTGAAACCCTCACCTGGAATCCTCACCTCCTGGAATCCTCACCCCACTCCAGCACTGGGGTCTCCCCACACTCACATCCCCAGGGATGTGCCCACACTGCAGCTCCCTCCCACCAAGGGCTAAACTCAGCTCTAAGGGCTCTCCCTCCCTCCCACTCTGAGCCCAGGAGGGAATTTGGATGGGCTTTGCCTTGGAGTGGGTCTCCAGGAGCAGGAATTCTGTCACAGGTAACCCAGGAAATGATGCATTACTGCAACAAAGCCCAGAGAAAACCCAGAATCAAAAAAAAAAAAAAAAAAATTCAGAATCAAAAAAACCCAGAATAAATTAAAAAAAATTAGAAAAATAGAATAAAAAAGCCCAGAATAATAATTAAAAAAAAAATAAAAAAACCCATAATCAAAAACAAAAAACAAAAAACAACCCAGAAACAAAAAACCTAGAATCAAAACAACCCAGGATTAAAAAAAACAAACAAACAAAACAGAATTAAAAAAAAACAGAATCAACAAAACCCAGAATACAAAACCCAGAATACAAAAAAATCCAGAATCAAAAAACCCAGAATAATAAAAAAACAACATAATCAAAAACCCAAAATCAAAACATCCAGAATATCTGGGCAAACAAAGCCCAGCAGGGACGAACTCAGGTGTCACCGAACCCCTGGCTCCGTTCTCACAGGCTGCACCTTGAATTCCCTTCATTTCTAGCAAGGATTCACCA